ACTTTGGATTCGGAGCGGGAGCGCGCGATTTGTACCCCTGGGGGTCTGGGACCGGTGCAGAGCTGGGGATGACAATGGGAAGTGCTGCCGCAGGTGTTATGCGAGTGTAGACGCGTTTTGTACTCCTGGAGGTCGGACTGGGTGATGGATTCAGGATTGTGAGGGAGAGTGCGGGAGCGGATGCAAGCGCGGGTGTGGGCTCGGTTTGTGCCAGTTTAGGTCTCAGCTCAATGCTGGACTCAGGCTGAAGAGGGCCTCGGGCTGGCGTGGGTGTGGATGCGGTTTGTGTCCATGGGGGTCTCAGCCGGGTGTGGAATTTGCGGTGGTGAGGGGCGGGTACCAGCGCGGGTCTGGACGCGGTTTTTCCAGTAGAGATTCCGATTCTGTGGTAGATGCGGGGTGGAGAGAGGTGGGTGCTGGCGCGGCTGCCTGAGCGGATGTGGGCACGATTCGTGCGGTTGGGGTTTGTGCTGGTGCGCAAAGCCAGGAGTTTCGAGGCGGGCGCGTCTGTTGCCCCCAGGGGTCTGTGTTGGTTCCTGGCGCTAGCCCGCGTCGAGTGAGGCGGGGCCCGGCGGGGGGTGGGGAGCGGATCGCGCAGTGTCCCTCCTCCAGCACCTCTCTCCCATTTTTCTGTGCAGACCAACTTGGCAGACATCGCCGCGCAGGCATGGACGTGACAGGTTATGCCCCTGACCTGTGCTCGGGGTCCTTGCGGGGTTGGCCCCAGCGTGGGTGCTTGAGTGCGGCCCGTCGCGGGGCCGAGAGCCGTGGGAGGGAGGGAGAGGGGGGACCGGTCTTATTTCTTGCCGGGGCGATGGGGAGAAAACCATGAAGACAACCAAACTTCTCTTCTCTCAGAGAGTCAAGTGAGGGTGGGCTCAGACCGCGCCAAGGCGTCCTTGTGCCCTCGAGGGTCGGCCACTGGCACCTGGCTAGGACAGGGCACCGGGGACCCTGCGCGCGGGCACGGGGGAGAGGGCTGCATCTGGCCTGGAGGAACAGGCCGGGTCTGAGCCCCAACCAGCAGCGAGGATCCGTCATGGGACCTGCAGCCGGGTCGTCGCTGGTGGCTGCGCGTGCGGACATGGTTGCTGGCTGCCAATACTTTACCCTCACTCTTTTTATATAATTTTCGTTACTGTTTTTCACCCCAAGAAGCTTTCTGGGTGTTTGTTCTTTGGGTCGAAAACCGATAAAAATCTCAAATCGGAAAGGGGCCAGAGTGGTACATGCTGCTTGCACGGGAGGGTGTGGACGAAGGCGACTCCGAATGGCTATTGGGAGGCAGGGCAGGTGGTCCAGTGGGGTTTGCATCCTGGTGCGATGGCTGTCTGTACACCTCCAGTCTGGCCCTGCTACAAAATCAGCGCCGCGATCCCCAAACCTGCGATGGCAAAGCCGGACTTCGGTGGCTGTGTTTCGGAACCGGGCGGGTCCCAAACTCAGTCTCTTGGGCTAAGGTGTGGGTTCTTTGCCTGACAGGTCCGCGGGTGGCTTCCGGCTGAGGACAACCCTGGCCTT